TTGTCGGTAAAATACATTTGCATAATATTACATATTTTTTCGATAAAATACATTTGCATAATATAATATTACGTATTTTGTCAATAAGTAAAAAAGTATATGAAAGTATATTACGGTAGAATACATTTGCATAATATATTACATATTTTATTTGTAGATTATGATTTTACAATAAAAAATCACCAGTTTTAAGATAATTCTTCGAATTCTTTTTATTGAATTTCTTCTATATTATTCTATTGAATTTTCTCTATATTATTTTATTGAATTTCTTCTATATTATTTAATTATGAATCCACTAAGTTTCGATTTTCTAAGCCATGAGAATTTTAAGCGAATTATTCAAACTTTTATTAATAAAGAAAAAATAAACGTTGCTTAATGGATGAAAATCATTATAATGAGTGTTTGAATGTATTGAAAAATCCCAACCTGCCACACAATTCAAAATTTAAGTATTGGGTTACCATACTTTCAAAATGCATACTATCGGTTCAGTTGAGGAGCTTCATTTAATCAAAGAAGGTATTAATTTGGGAATGCAAGTTTGTAAAGTCGAAGATTTTTATGAGGTAATTTGTGGTGCTCATCAAGCAACTGAACATGGAGGACAAGAAAAACTTAGGAAAAGGTGAAGTTTAATTTTTTATATTAAATAAATTGATAAAATTGCTTTAAAAATTAATACAATTTAATTTTACAGATTCGGATTCCTTAGAAATCGCAAATTCACTTTAATAATATGCAAAAAATTGTTGAAATTAAAGATACTAACATTGTTGTAGAAGAACGTCAAGAAATTATAATTAATAATCCTAAAGAAATTATTGAAATTTACGATTCTGATTCTGATTCTAATCGATGTTATACAGCACAAGAAAAAAAAAATGGCGAGCACGTTCTATTGAACTTGAAGAAAATACATCTAATGTAGTATATTAATTATTTATTAAAACTAATCATATTATTAATTTGAAGAAAATTTTAACCTCTGAAAAATTTTTTTAGCAACAATTACTATTAAATAATAGATCTAATTTAACTCGCGCTACATTTGAAAAACATGAAAACGTTCGTAAATCAGCAATTTTAAATGTTAAAAGAAATCGTGAATATATTCGAAATAAGATGCAAATGAAGTATAAAACAAAACGTGAACGAAGATTTGAACCTGATGAATTTGTAAAAATTCGCATACCTGATATTGACAAGCAAAAGATGCAGCGAAGATCATTGCCTTGCAAAATTCTTCAAAAAAAGCCTGACCGTAAGTTTGGAATTGTTGATAACTGGTTCCCTGCAAGTGAGATTGAACTATTAGGGACATCTGATTACCCTGACCTTGATGTGGTTCCTTTGAACAATACAATTTCATTACGGCAAGCTGGATTTAAACAATCTTCAGGCCAAATTAATAAGAAAAACTCTGAAGTAAACGGGTAAGTAAATTATTAAAATTAAATAAATTTTATTTAGCACTAAATTAATTTTTTTTTAAAAAAATATTATAGTGATAATCAAAGACCTAATGGCAAAATGAGTACTCTTTTTCGTCAAGAAACAAGTAGAGCAAATCAAAAAAACTGCTGCAATTGTCGAAAAACCAATTGCAATACCAAAGCATGCAGTTGTCGGAAATATAATTTACTATGCACAAGAAAATGTGGATGTGTGTTACGAGATCAATGTCAAAATTGTTAATTTTTCTTTTTTATGATATTTTTCATTCTTTTGCCTGAAATTCATGTAATCAAAGCAGCGTTTATGCGTAAAATTAATATGCAAATTTGAAATTTTTATATTTTGCGAAATTATACCGATTATACCGATTGTAAAATAACAATATGTTATTTTTAAATTTATAAATAACATGTGTCAATTATTAAACGACATAAATTGAAAAACGACGCGGAACAGAACCACCCGAAATTTTTTTTTTTTTTGCCTATTGTCTGGACTAAAGATCCCCTGCTTTGCTCCGTAAATTAGACAACAGCACAAAATTTGAAAAATGGGTTTCAACGATATTACCCTATAACTCACGAATCAAATCGCAGAATTTTTGAAGATCGCAAAATTTACTATATATTTTTCGTGTTTATCTCTTAAAAAAGGTGCTCGAAAAAAAATTTTATAGCATTTTTTTATTTAAATTTAAGTGATATATGTCTCTATAGCACATAACATAGCAAAAGCAAAATAAATATATATTCATAAGTGTTTTTCAGATAATATTCAAATAAAGCCAAACTTTGGTATCATTCACAAATATTTTATATTATCACAAAATGGATTAAAAAAATTCCAACGCGTGAAATTTTATGCGTTTACTTGACAAAAGGTGTCTACGTCTCCTCTTAATTTCTTAATTTTGAACTGCTACATGAGTTGAATAAAGCTGTATGTCAGTTAACTATCTGAATTCCTTGAAATTAATTCATTAGAGTTGATAATTAACAAATCTGCAGCACTTTCCAAATGATTGGTAGTTGAATTAGATGTATAACTAATAAACTGATCAGTATAAATTTCTTTAGAGTAATCATTCACATTGCTCTTATTTTGCCTCACTATTTTGTCAGATTCAGAAAGTTTGAATAAAATTTTTTCGTCATTTTGCCATTTTGTTAAATTAATACATATTTCCTCTGCCGATGGACGCTCTTTGGGTTCTGTTTTCCAACATTGTTTCATAATATTAATATAGCATGATTTAGGAATCTCGTATATTGGCGGTCTTAATCCATCGAGAATTTGAAGTTGTAAATTATCTTTTTCGTGATAAATTGGTATTGCTGTTACTGGTACTCCAAATAAAATTTCCCACATAATTATGCCAAATGAGTACATATCGGATGCTGTAGTATATGGTTGATTGCTCAAAACTTCCGGAGGTATATAAGGTAAAATTCCATAAACTCCATCAAGACCTATCTTCGAATTTCTACTTGTTGAGACTGAAAGTCCTAAATCTGCAATACGCGCACTTTTCAAGGTTTCTTGCAGAATATTACCGCTGTGTAAGTCTCGATGAATAATATTTTGTGAATGAATTGCTTGAAGATCTGAAGCAATGCAATGCAAGAGTGATAATTTATCTTTCCATTCCATTGATGATATATAATGAAGATTTTCTCGTAAAGAACCCATTATAGCATAATCCAAAACAATAATATAGTCTTTAGAATAATTATGTTTAGATATTCCATAACATTTTAGAAATGATGGCATGTTATAGCAAATCTCACAATATGCCTTCAACTATAAATATGATGAGTAAGAATGCAAGAAAGACATCATTTCAAAAAGCATCAGAAATTTACCTCTTTTATAAATTCATCTGGACAATCCTTTGATCCATGTATTAATTTAAGTGCGACAACATTTTTTTGGGTAGTAAAATTATATTCGAAATTATGTTCAGAATGATATACTGTTGCAAATCCGCCCCTGCCTAGCTCTTTAATGTCTTCAAATTCTTCATAAGAAATCCACAATAATGGATATTTAATTTCAAGTAATACTTCTTTTAATTTGTCATCAATATCAGAACTTTCATAAATCCAATTATTTGAGACTAAAAATATTTGTTAAATTAATTTTGTTGAATGAATGAATTAATTAATTAAAAAATAAAATACCTGAGAGACTTTCGCGTTCCCTATTGATTTCATAAGTTAATAACGAAACTGAAATTGAAATTGATGATATAGTCAAAATAAACGTTTTATTTACTTTTTATACCAAAAATTAGCCTTTTGTAAATCTCTTGTTGTTCCAAATCCATTTCTATAGCAATAACCAAGTGTAGACATTACATGAACATTATTCATTTCAGCGGATTTTTGATAATAATCGAATGCCTTATTTTCATTCTTTTCAATTCCAATTCCATTTTTATAACAATGTCCAGCCATTTGAAGTCCAGAAGCTTTCCCCATTTCTGCAGATTTTTTAAAACAGGCGAATGCCTTATATACATCTTTTTCAACACCCATTCCGTAAAAATAACAAAGGCCAAGATTATCTATTCCGGTAGCACCATCCATCTCTACAGATTTTTGGAAATAGATAAATCCCTTATGTTCATCCTTTTCAACTCCAATTCCGCCTAGGTAACAAGCGCCAAGACTGTTGAATCCACCAGCATAACCCATCTGCTCTAATTTTTGGTAATTAATGAATGCCTTGTGTTCATTCTTTTCGACTCCAATTCCTTTCTGATAACAATAGCCAAGATTGTTTATTCCATCAGGATCACCCATCTCTGCTGTTTTTTGAATATAAGTGAATGCTTTGCGCGTATCCTTTTCAACACCAACTCCAAATTTATAACAATTAGCAAGTTTTTTTATTCCAATAACATTACCCATCTCTGCTGATTTTTGGTAATAAGCGAATGCCTTATGTTCATCTTTTTCAACACCAATTCCATTTTGATAACAATCTCCAACATTATTGGTTCCAAGAGCATCACCCATATCAGAAGATTTTTGATAATAAATGAATGCTTTATGTTCATCCTTTTCAACTCCAATTCCTTCATAATAACAATAACCAACATTATATGTTCCTCCAGCATCACCAATATCAGCAGATTTTTGATAATAAATGAAAGCTTTATGTCCATTCTTTTCAACACCAATACCATTTTGATAACAATATCCAACCGTATTTGTTCCAATAGCATTTCCCATCTCTGCAGATTTTTGATAGCAAATAAATGCCTTATTTTCATCTATTTCACCTCCAATTCCAAATTCATAATAACATCCAACAATCCGCATTCCATTTGCATGCCCCATCTCTGCAGATTTTTGAAAATAAATGAACGCCTTATGTTCATTCTTTTCAACTCCAATTCCATATAGATAACAACGCCCAACTTTATATGTTTCTTCAGCATCTCTTACCTCTGCAGATTCATTATCAACGCTATTATAATTAAAAGTGTTATCATCAATACTGTTGTCATTAAACTGTCCATAGACTTTATTCTCGTTATGTTCTCTCAGTCTAATATAGTCAATCCACTTTTAAAAAATGAAATTTAAGCAAGATAATATAAAAAGATTCACATGTAACAACAATAATAATAATATATATGATAAACATACCAAGCCAGACTTTAGTCTTCCATCATGATTATAAATCTTAATATGAATGTCATGGTATGTCATTTTACCATCTACTATTCTTCGCTTTGGTACAACAATTCTATAAGGTAGACAGTATTCGACCCATTCATTTCTGCGGGCGATATTGGCGTACGTTGTAGATTGCGGAATATGGTTATAGCTTTGTTCATGATCGGCATCATTTTCATCCACTTGCTGTTTTTATAGGTTGAATAATGTTAAGTTGAACGTTAGGCATATGTTACTATAAAAAAAAAGACTTTTGAGAATTTCAATACTTGCTCTCTCGATAACAGTTGTACTGAAATTTAAACCTTGGAGGTACGAGGAAGAATCAATTTTTAATCTCCATACGACCTCATATGTACCGGGCAGAACAGATTTTAGAGTCGACGAAACCTTTAGAAAAAAACGTTTTAGAACGACTATAATTACCTTAAAAATTGCTTTGTCACAAGATAGGAAAGATTATACTCACGTCAAACCACCAAACATATTTTAAATGAACAACTTTTCCAAATTCGCTGTTCATAAGTAATATACGTAAGGGTTCTATAAAGAATGTAAAGATTGTTAAATGAAGCTTACCTTTGCAAATCTTCGAGGGTTCGCCAATGATGATCATTTCCTCCTCCCGCCTGACAATCCAACCAGATAACTCCTCGTTCTTCGGCAATAAAATTAGTATAATTGGCATTCAAGTCAAGATTTGCTACAAAATATCTAACTGTTAGAAACAAAATAAATCATAGATTTTTTTCTTCTACCAAAGTTAGAAACAATAGTCTCATCGTACTCATGTTGTTTCATCACTCAGAAATACGACTTGCAGAAAATTGACCGATACAAATTTGTTGCCAAATGTATCTTCTTGAGTGGTAGTTTTATTTTTATAATATTGAAATGTTAACGGGAATATTCTGAAGTTTTTTTGTTATCTTGAAGAGTTATCGTTACTTTTATAGTTTGTTTTTTAAATATGCATTCATGAATCCATGCTTACAAATACAATCTTTAGTTGTTCGGTGTATAGCGGGGATTTTCATGTGCAACCATACCTGACCTTCATGTAACAAAACAAAAGTCTATACCAAGAACTCAGGAAAAGCATCGACCAGAATAAGTTCAATTTCGGGAATCAAAGGAGATGAGTATGGTTGAATGACTTTCCACAAGCAGACATCGGTATTACAAAT